TGATGTATGGGCGCGAGTGCAAGTACGGAGCTCCTTACTTCTCCGCCATCTTGCCCTCTCCTCCACTTGCCTATTTATTTTAAGCCTAACCCCTCTGAGAACACTAGATGTGCTAACTTAATGTATCTGGGTAAAAGGCTCTAGAACTATTGTGAAATTACAAACCAGGAGAACAGAAATATAGGGTTAAAAAAATCCCTTGAGAAGTCACCCTGCCTATCCCTGTGCAGTAAGGAATATTGTTGAACTCATTCTAATTAAAGATACCAAATCTATTTTGAAAGATTTCCAATCAAGATGATTCCCCAAATCTCTCTTAGAGACCCAGTTAACATCTCATGTACAAAATGCGTGCTAATCTAAATCTTCTGCATTTTAGTTAGACACAACTTGTTTTCTGCCATTGTCTAGGGTTTGCAACACATACGATGTAATTATTAAATCATTTTTCAGACTTCTTTTTCTTACTATCATGACCCTTTCATCACAGATCCTGATTTTTCTGTTTTTAATCCTCTTTTAAGTTCCCTGTGTCACCTTGGTAGTTGTAGAGATGGAAACAGGTCAACAAATCTTACAGAGAAAGCCAAGAAAAAATGAGCTAATGATCATTGTGCTCTATATTCTAATTGTATATATATAATATATATATTATATATATATCAATATTATGTTTGGATATTTTAATGGTAGCCCCAGTTAAAGGCCTGATTTCAGGGGCACCTGGGTGGCTCAGTCGGTTAAATGTCCTATTCTTGATTTTGGCTCAGGTCATGATCTCACGGTTCGTGGGTTTGAGCCCCATGTCAGGCTCTGCACTGACAGTGTGGAGCCTGCTTGGGATTCTCTCTCTCCCCCTTCACTCTGCCCCTTCCCCTCTCACACTCTCTCTCCCTCATCACACTTACCTAGCATGTTCTACCCCAACGGTCTGCTTTCCTTGCCTATACAATAATTACTGACTTCTGTATAGCACTTTATAATTTTTCAAATAATTCTCCATTGTCCTCACAACCACCCTGTACTAAAGCAAGGCAGGTATTATTTAATTCACAGCTTTAAAAAAAAGAGATTCCAAGAGTTTCACTCCTTCAAGAGCACGTACCTAGTAAATGACAACCGCAACCAAACAGATCAGCTGACGTCCATCAGTCAAGTGTCCCTTCCGCTCTACCGCCTGAATACATTCACTACACTTCAGTTACACTTACTGGAATAGAGGACTTTACTATCACAATCTTAAGGGTTATTGATCTTAATTCTAAAATCATGGCCTCTGATTTCATGTGTTTCATGCTTTTTATATTACAAGAAGTTCTCGATGGACCTTCATTAAAGGCTTTGCCAAAATAACTTTTATTCTTTTTTTTTTTATTAGTATTACGGTAGCCTTTATTATAAGGCTTGGACTTTCCCATTCTACCTGTGAGTACTCTTTACACAATGTATTGCATTAATAATCATGCTTAATCTTATTGACATGATAAAACCTTGCATATCAGCTTTATATCAAATTTCACCATCTATAAATCTAAATATATTATTACTCTACTACTTATTATAGTTAGGAGAATAAGAAGGGTATTCTCTCTAGAGCAAGTAAAGATAACTTAACTTATACACTTAAATAGGACATTGCTCATAAGCATTCATTTGCTCTGCTTCCCAAAACCTCCCTTTAAATGATGTTATTTCACGGGGTGCCAGGGTGACTCAGTCAACTGAGTGTCTGTCTCTTGATTTTGGCTCAGGTTAAGATCTCAGGGTCATGGGATCCAGCCCTGCATCAGGTTCCACACTGAGCATGGAGCCTACTGGAGATATTTTCTCTCTCTCTCTCCCTCCCACAATGTCCCTCTCCCATGGTGTCTTTCTCTCTCTCTCTAAAATAAAAAGTAAAAATAAAAAACAAATGATGCTATTTCTCTTTTTAAAGGAAGTATGAATCCGTGAGAATAGTCAGACAGCAGCAGTTGAGAGGAATATGCTAGGTATTAGCAGAACGTGGCATGCAAATTCGGTGATGCAGCTAGTTGGGACCCTGAGCAACCAGAACTGTATCGGAATACAAGTTCAAAACGATACACTAATATTCTGTCATTAACATATTTCTAGTAAGGAGGCACCTGGGTGGCTCAGTCACTTAAGCGTGGGGCTCTTGGTTTCAGCTCAGGTCATGATCTCACAGCTTCATGGGTTCAAGCCCCACATTGGGCTCTGTGCTGATAGCATAGAGCCTGCTTGGAATTCTCTCTCTCCCTCTCTCTCTGCCACTCCCCCACTTGTAAGGTCTCTCTCTCTCTCTCTCTCGAAATAAATAAACTTTTAAAAAAATAAAAGGTATTTCCAGTAAGAATAACCTAAATTATCTAACAGTCTAAACATTCAGTTCTTAAAAATGAACTGGAGACCTTATGGCCACTGCTGGTGATCCTATGACCCAGCTCAGCAAGACAAGGACCAGAAAGACAGCTGTAACAGCCAAAAACGAGGATTGTGACAAAACGGCTCCTCTGGGACCACAGCCTGTCATCAAATCAAGTATTACTGTAGTGACTTTAATTTGCCAGAAGACAAGTTTTTAAAGGGGACAGATCACACTGGATGAAAGGCAGGTTCCCCTGGAGATACTAAAATCCAATAGGTAGAAGTGCCTAACAACAGGCTTTAATATAATGGAAGCGCTGAGCAAATGCAAGACAAAACTTGAGGAAATAAAGATAAAGCTAACATCAGAAACTCTCCCACAAACGTCTCTCTGATGAGTATAAAACATCTCTCCAATGACCGATGAGCATTAAAAATGATGTAATAACAGATCCATGTATATGAAAGGCTTTCCAGCTGATGCAATCCTTAGTGACATAAAGGATTAGAAGATAAAGGTCAAGCACAAAATATTCAAAGGAAAACAACATTACACAAAGCATGAAAGGATCAACAACTGAAGGGTCTGATTGTATTGAATTTGCGAAAGTTTATATAGACACTGGCCAAAAGCATAAAGACTTCTGCTACTTTTCAATGAGTATTATTTTGTTAAAAAAAAAAAACGATTAAAATAAGGTATAAGCTAAATTAAGATACTAAACAAGAACAAGAAGAAAAAGAGAAGTGCTATCGATGCTGACATGAAACCTCTAGAAAAACTGAAGGCTGAGATTCTGGGAAGACTTAGATGATCAGACCCACTGAAAAGATCCACACTTCCTCTTCTCAAACTGTGGGGAAATGAAATGGATAGATTTATAATGCTATTTAAAGAAAAAGCTAAGAAGCACTAGATAAAGCCGAAGAAGTCAAGAGTGGGAACTTACAATTAAGGAACAAAGAAGAGAGGTGGGAGGTACCAGGAGAGGCAGGGGGAAAAGCAGCACTGAAAAAATCAAGGAGGATCAGCAAGAATCCCTAAACAAATGAACTTGAAAAGGTCAGGGATTTAAAGGAAGGGGGAGAGGAATTAAAGCTGCCCAGGAAAAGTACAGTTTCACGGCTAGAAAGTGAACATGGATGGTGATGAGGAATGAGATCAAAAGGAAGCCACTGGACCAGTAAAAGCAAACAAAGGAGAATCTGCATGCAAACAACAACAACAAAAAACACAAAATGGTGCCGGGAGCAGGAATTTAGCAAACAAACTTCTAGGTATTAAAGCTGCTTTTATCTCTGGAGGCTTGAGAAAAGAAAATCAAATTAAGCCCACTTCCGTATCCAGCTACAAGAAAGGAAAGATTGTGTGTGTGTGTGTGTGAGTGTGTGTGAGTGTGTGTGTGTTTGTGTGTGTGTGTTTAACCTTTTTGTTGTTGCTACCCAAATGAAGATTTTTTTTAATGCATATTAAAAAAAATATGTTCTGTTTCTGTTATTTCGAATGATTCAAATATCAAAGGGAAGATTCTTCCACTACACTGTTTTGTAACGAGACCATATTAGTAAAAACTGACAAAATGCACACCGTGGGAAAAGCAAAAAATGAACTGAGCCAATGGGGACAAATTCAGCTCTCCGGCTGCTTCGTGGGCTGCTCGAGCGACAGACTTTTTTTCCCTGTCAGTCTAATTGCTGGTAGAAGAATAGATACCGAGGGGGGAAAGAAAATCAAATATAATTAAAATCTACCTCCCCAAGATCAATTTTTCATAAAATGTCACTTAAGATATATATAAGCTTTAAATGAAAATATGTATGGAGAACTATACTGACCAAATTGTAGTCATTTCTTTTTTTTTTTTTTGCTCCACTAAACAGCTTATAGACCTGCACAGAAATGGGGGGGGGGGGGATCTTTTATCTTCCATATTGCCCCAGTGCATTCTTGCTCACACTGTAAACATTCTTCTAACGAGTTATCTGTGACTTCTTGAAAGGAGTAGATAAAGCATATGGTATAAATTCGATGACTCACCACTTGGGGAAACAAAAACAAAAGGAGAGGGAGGAAAAACTGCCTCAAGATCTAACATTCTTATGCCTCAATATAAGTGAGAGTACGGTACCATTCTCCAAGCTGGTGAAACATAACTTAGAACTGCAAGAACACGGTTTCAAAACGAAAAGCTGTCAGCGCAATCGTCTGTTTCAGAGGCTTACAGAAAGACTCCTAAAAAGATGTCTGAAGACTCCCAAGCCTACCAGAAAGAGTGTGACCTCAAACAAACTAGTTTCCCCATTTCCTCAGCAAAACAAGATGCCACTACCTCCGGCCAGAGAATGAAACAAAGCAGGCAGCAGCGCCTGTATGTTGAAGACCTCGAGATGCCGAAAAGGACTGCCTCTCCCAAAATGTTTCCCACGGTCTGTGGTGGTAACTGCAATCATCTCATTAGAAATACATTTTTAGACTTTTTTTTCCCCTTGTACAGACAGACACCTAAAAGAGTGGGTAAAATATACTTTAAAGAATAATTAGTCAGGGGACCGGGTGGCTCAGTCGGTTGAGCATCTGACTTTCAATTTCGGCTCAGGTCATGATCTCAGGGTTCATGAGATTGAGCCCCATGTGGGGCTCTGCGCTGCCAGCTAGAGCCAGCTTGGGATTCTCTTTCCCTCTTTCAAAATAAATAAATAAACACAGAAGAACGAGGAGGAGGAGGAGAAAAAGGAAGAGGAAGAGGAGGATTAGGAGAAAGAGAAGTGGAAAAGGAATTATTTATTATTATTATTATAAGTAAACATCATCCACGTCAAAAAATAGATCAGCAGTAACATCACAGAAGTCCCCCCACCCCCAACACCTGCTGCACACACTTCTCTACTAGAGGGGAACACAATCCTAATTTTTACCATAACCATTTCCTTGGTTTCCATTTTACCATTCAACTATGTGTCCCTAAATAACACAGCTTGCTTTCTTCTTGTGTGTGAACTTTATACAAGTAGAATCATACAGAGGTATTTTGTGGCTACGTAGGGTTCCTTTTACCTCACAGTATGTTTGACAGGTTCATCCACTTGTTTATGTATTCACTCCACTTTTTTTTTTTTTTTAAGTTTTATTCATTTCTAGGAGAGAGAGAGAGAGAGAGAGAGAGACAGCGTGAGCAGGGGAGGGTCAGAGAGAGAGGGAGTCACAGACTGACACAGGCTCCAGGCTCTGAGCCGGCAGCCAGCACAGACCCGACGCGGGGCTCGAACCCACGAACCACGAGATCATGACCTAAGCGAAAGTCGGACGCTCAACCCACTAAGCCACCCAGGCGCCCCTGTATTCACTCCACTATTAATAGATATCTGGGTGGCTCTTCTGACCAGCACTGCTACAAATGCACACACACATCTCCTGGCACATGCGTGTGACAGCTTCTCAAGACTGTCTTCCCAGGGTACAAGTGCTAGATCCTCAACTTTACTGGAAAATGACAAACTACCTTCCTAAATGAATATACCAACATACATTCACACCAACTGTGTGTGCAATAGAAATTCACTATTGGAATTTAATCACTGGTCCTCAAAGATTCACTATTACAATGTAAATCCTACTAGGAGAGTAACAACACATTAAGGAGGAGGTACTCTTAGCAAAGGGTCCATCTTCAAAATGGCATTTGAGAATTGGAGCAGGGGTGTATGCACAGCACAACTGATTCTAGAATAAAAAATAATACATAAAGAACAGTTCAGGGGCGCCTGGGTGGCTTAGTCAGTTAAGCGTCCGACTTTCACTTAGGTCATGATCTCGCGGTTCGTGGGTTCGGGCCCCGCGTCGGGTTCTGTGCTGACTGCCAGCTCGGAGCCTGGAGCCTGTTTCACAGTCTGTGACTCCCTCTCTCTCTGACCCTCCCCTGCTCACACTGTCTCTCTCTCTCTCCTAGAAATAAACAAAACATTAAAAAAATTTAAAAAAAAAAAAAAAAGGAACAGTTCAAAGCTCAGAGAAACCAAGTCTGTCACAGTGACAAAGGCCATCCTTTAGGCATGTGGCAGACACAAAGATGGGGGAGAAAAATAAATCAGTGACTCAAGGTGGGCAACTCGGGGGGAAAGAGGAAATTTTTATTTTAGGAATTAACCTAAAACCTGAAATCACCAACTTTTAAATGCTCAGAGGCTCAGACCACCCCCATTGGTTTTTCAATAGGTAGACTCAATAATCAGTTCTATTACATCCACAAATTTTTAATTTCTCAGAAAAGTGATCTTTAAATTCTATTGGCAACAACTGCCAATATGTCTAACATTCAAGGAAAACAAGAAATTTGACTTTACTGGAAGTTAATTAAGCTTCTATCGACAAAAAATTCCAGATACATACTAAATCTAAGCACATGGTTACTCACTGAGCAGAACTAAAGCCAGTAGTAAATTTGGGATAAAAGGCTGACATCATCAAATTAGGCACTGTTACATGTAGCTACTCTTGCACTTGATACTAAGAGAAATTGTAATGCCTAATGTTAGACAGAACCATGATAGACTAGGATTCAAATCCAGATCTGTTCAATTTTGGGGTCTGTGTTCCTTATATTAAACCACACTGACAAAGGAAAGACTGTAACATCATAAACCGAACTTAAATGTCCATTAAGGTAGTTAAATTTTCAATGTTGATAAGTTATTTCTAATTTTGGTTACTTTAGTAGTTAGTAAAGAAATTATATACTAAATGTGTGTGTATGTACACACACATATATACATATATAATGATCACAGAATGAACTCCATCTCTCAAAAGTAAACCAATATAGCCCAACTCCTACAAAGAAGAAAGCATAGAGGCTCTTCTCAAGCACAGGACATGGTGAAAAGAAAATGATAAATTAGCAGCAGAACGGGGAAAAACTAGAAGCACATATCAGAAGATGGGACGATTGTGATCTCCCAAGAAACCAATCACAGACAAACAAGCCACTTGGGAAGAAATCACTGAGTAAAGACAGACTACAAGAAAAATACATGGGAGAAACAAATCATGTCAGGCTTTACGTTATAAATAAAATGCTAACATAAATAGCCAAAATCGTAAGTCACTGAGTATAGCTGCTCAGTTAAACTAGAATTGTAAATCGCCTTCCAACATTCAAGCAATATCTTTTACTTGCCAGATACTGTCCTAGTAACCAAGTACACATTTAATTCAGTTAAAACCAGGGAGTCCACACTGCACTAGTTCCATTTTCCCCCTCCATCCTCTAGCAGAACACCTAACGGAAATGAAAACTAAGCAGCTCAACTTTTACCTTTCTCCCATCTTGAAGAAAGGTGCTTATAAATTTTTAAGTGGCCAAAATGCAGGTAACAAAAGGGAAGTACTCATCTGACTGGCAAAAAGAGGAGTCACTGGCCCCTAAACAGTCAGTGAGCTGGATGCAGTCAGCAAACCTCTACTGAGAGGGTGATACTGTGGGGAGCATACAACAGAAGGACACCAGTCTCTACCTCGCTCTGCTTACTCACATTCACCATACTCTCTCCACTTACTACTTTCTTTCTACTCAAGGGGTTTATTCTATCAAGTTGAAAGAGAATTCATTACTTAATTATTCTTAGTCTGGTACAAGCATTCAAAAATACAGGCAGGTGAGAAAAAAGAAAGGTGGAACTCACCAGCAACGTGAAAGTTGGAGGGAAGAGGGAATTCAAATTGTCTAAAAATATTATTTTCATTTTATTTCTCTGCTATGACATCATCACTCTTTACATTTTTTTAACCTGGTAATATTTTGCTGTTTGTGGTCATTGAGGTCATCGTAGACTCACATACAAAGTTAAGATATAATACAGAGAGATCTCCCGTACACTTGGCCCAGTTTCCCCCAATGATAATATTTTGTGAAACTATTATAATATCACAACCAGAAATACTGACATACTGACATTGATAAAAGCCCCAGTCTTCAGACTTCCTCAGTGTTATTTGTAGTCATTCTTGTGCATGTGTGTTAAGTTCTAGACAATGTTATCATTTGTGTAGGTCTATCTACCACCACAATCAAGATAAAGATCCATACCAGCACTACAAAGAAACTTCATGTTGCCCTTTTATAACCACATCCAATTCCCACCCTCCCATCCCTAACCCCTGAAAACCACTAATCCATTCTCCATTCATCCTTTCCATTCTTATACCACAGCCTAGTAGAAAGTAGCCATCCCTCCAGCCAGCCCTGCTCCATTAATTTCCGTAACCACTCTCCTACTCTTCAGTTTCACGCTGCTGCACATCGCTCAGGGTTGAGTCAATATTAAAACACAGCTGGTCATAGAAGAAAAGAGTGTTTCACCTTATCGACAGAGAAGACTGTTCAAAAACAAACAGAAAAGTTTTCAAGTTCAGGTACACAGGTCTCTAACATGTGCATAACCATGAAGATGCATACTCCTGGCTATAAAAGGGAAAAGAACACATCCTCTAGAAGCTTGGTAAAACTTTCTAAAACTTGGTCAAGCTTTGTATAAACATAAGCATTGATTCCTCTGAAATCAAAGAAAACACCTCTGTTTTCAGACTACCCAATTTAGAGGGGCATAGTTCAGCATTTTTCATTTCTGTAAAGCCTTTTATCCATTTCAACCAGGACTTAAGTCCTTCTACATCATTAAGTGGAATCACTGGCTTCCACTTAAAGAACCGTCTTTATTTCCTTGCAAACCATTAGACACACTGTTCTCCACTTGAATTTAAAACCCAAAGGACAAAAGGATGAATTGCTAGTCATTCAAATGCAGCTTTAAAAGGAACACAAATAAAAGGTCTATGCAACTTTCAGAGCCTTAAACCACAGGCAAGCAAGCAGAATTCATACCTGCGGAGCTGAGGAGGACGCTGAAGTCCGTCCCCCTTTGTGATTCTCCACTTTCATTATTGACCTCTTTTTCAATATCTTGATATCGATCCCAGTTAGACACTATCTTTCTTTTTGAATAATTTCCCTGTTCCTCATTCTCTTCTCCAAAGGTCTCTGCATCACTGTCATCTTCAACCTGCAATCATTAGAGACAAATCAATACACAGGCAGTGGAAATTTCGACTTTAGCAGCCTTAGCGGTAAAGTAAAACAAAACAAAAAATAGTACACAAGTATCACAATAAACAGCACATTTAGAGACCAAGCTCCCTGAGGACACTAAATTATATTTCAAAATGACCCCAATGTACCACTGTCCTGAATGTATTTCCAGGGTAAACTTTTCTTTTGGCTTTACAAAGGAAATCTGGCAAGTTCCTGTCTAACAATGTGTGTAACCGATAGGGCTAATGTCTACCCCAGGGTATCGTTTCTCAACAGTTGTTTCCTCTTATTGAAACAATCAAAGCTATACAGGTTTTTTTTTTTTTTTTTTTTTTTTTTAGTTTTATTTATTTTGAGAGAAGTATTTATTTTGGGAGGGCAGAGAGAATGAGAAGGGGAGAGAGAATCCCAAGCAGGTTCCACACTGTCAGCACAGAGCCTGATGAGGGGTTCAAACTCACAGACCATGAGATCATGACTAGAGTTGAAATCAAGAGCCAGATGCTCAACCAACTGAACCACCCAGGTGCCCCAAGGCTATATGAGTCTTACACTTAGAGGACTTTAGGACAGAAATCAACCATTGCCATTTACAGATTTTACAAACACAATACCGAAGTTTTATAAGTTTTAAATGGGAACTCTGCTCAGATGCATTCAAGAGAACAGTTTCCAGTCTTGAGTATTAAAAGAGAGCATGCAGGGAAATGCAGAAGGTGAGAAAGTATGAAAGATAAAGAGTCTATGTTCTTCAACAAATAATTTATAAGAGGAAAAATGGTGGTGGAGGAGGGAGAAACCTATAGATCAAAGGAGCTTAATGGACACACAACCATTTGTAATGTCAGAAACTTATTTGTTTTAAGGAGATGAATCTCTTATTATTTTTAAGTGAAATTTATTTTGAGAGAGAGGGGGAGAGAGAATCCCAAGCAGCCTCCACACTGTCAGTGCAGAGTCCAATGCAGGGCTCAAACCCACAAACCCATGAGATCATGACCTGAGCTGAAATCGAAAGTCAGACACTTAACCAAATGAGCCACCCAGGCACCCCAGGAGCTTATGTGTAGTCAGATTCAAACAATACAACTATAGACAAAAATCACCTTTGAGACAGAGAAATGTGAATGACTGAATATTTGGTTATATTGAAGAAACACTATTATTTCATATGTGTATTGTTTGGGGTGATACCAGACTGTTTTTTTTTTTTAAACATTCTTTTTTTTTTAGGAAAACATATTGACTATTTATAGAAGAAAAGACAGGAATTTCCTTCAAAATAATGGGTGCAGAGGAATGGTGGGTACAGAGGAAATAAACTGGGCATAATTGATAACTATATAATTCTATCTACTTTTGTATGTATTTTAGATGTTCTATTACAATAAAAAGTTAAACCTTAAACAAGAAAGATGCATGTAGAAACTAAAGACATGGTTCAAAGAAGCAGCCCAAAAAAGATACAATCTTCATCCAGAAAAAAAACCTTGTGAAATCTATTACAGCAACCTACCTGTCGAGGACGTGTTAGTCTAGATTTTTTTAAAAAGTAAGTTTTTGTTAACACAAAAATGAGGCATGTGTATTACAGAAAATTAAGAGGAGAGACAAGCTAAGAAATAAATAAAAACCCTACATTCCTATCACTGGAGAGTAGAAGTTCCACTATTAACACCTTAGAAAGATATTTGGAAGTATACGCACTATTTATGTATACATTTTTTGTAACAAGAAGGTTTTTCATCAAAATTCTGCACCTCTCCATCCCAGTAAATATCATTTCATATAACATCCAGAGTATTTCCAAGTTAGTCTGACCCCAAAAATTTGCTTTACAGCTGGTTTTGTCCAAGTTAGCATCCTACTCAAGATCATGCCCTGTATCTCATTGTTTGTCCCTTAAATGCCTTTGAGTCTAGCTCCATCTCTATCTTTATGACATTGGTTTATTGAAGAGACCAGTACATGTAGAGTGCAGAAGGATCCATCCTTTGTCTGGCTGCTTCCTTGTGGTAGGGTTTATGGAATTAACGGGTTTTTAAAAAATCTAAAAATCTGAATGCCCAATGGGGTCAAGTTAAATATTTTTTGGTTAAAATACATCATAGATGGTGCTCTGAACCTTACGCTACACCACATGAAATGACAGGTGATAAATGGCTGACCCAACATAAGTAATGCTAAGATTACCCAAGGGGTTTGGATGAAGTCTAATCCACTCACTGTACAGGTAGGTTTTCCCCCTTGCATCTACGAACTCATCTGTGTGTTATTAGTCTGTCCACTACAAATTTCTAATACTCCAAACTAGTCAGTAGTCCTCACCTGAATCAAATTAAGTTTTAATGAAAGGATAGAGTAACTGACCTTTCAAGATTTCTCACAACCCTCAAATATCATAACACTCCTTGATGGCACAAAAAGATGGCAACCCACATCATAATCTGCCTGAAACCTACAGGTTTCCTGCCATTCCTGAGAGATTCTCATAACTAAATGATGGTAGCCGATTCAAGGTATGTGACTGAGTAAGAACTGCTGTTTAAATAATAAATACCAGGAAGGTTCTAAAGAAAACAGCTGTATAACTGACGAGAACTGCGGGAACTGAACTAAAGCTGAAAATACTAGCAAGGTTTAATCTGGGAAAATCCAGTATTCCTTTGTTGGCTCACTGGGTAAACACAGTTCAGAAAGACTTCCCCAGTTAGCACAAAACTTGTGAACATCACCATAACACATGGCAAAAATGTAAGCCTGGGCAGAGTAATCAACTTGATGAGAAAGAGGATGATGATCTGAAACACCTGAGGAACTAACAGTGCTACAAGCATTGAAATGGGAGGCAGGGGACCTAGGAAAAATTAGTGGCCCTGCCCTCACCATCATTTAGTATTTACAACATGTTTATAATAGGCTGGGGCCTCAAAGAGCTGAATGACTCACCAATCCCCAACTTAGAAGAATCACTGAATAATGATCTTATTGCCCCCACCCAACTGCAGAGATGAGAAGAGCCATCATTAGACTCTATCACAAGAGGGTAGTAAAAAGTAATAAAGCTTAGAAGATATCTGATATAACTTAGAAAAGTATATCTTAAAAACTCTCATAGATTTTATGTTTGGTTCATTTTACAAAGATCTGTGCCAAAATATGCAAAATCACATAGACAGAAAAAACAGGACAAACCAGAAAATACTGACGAAAGCAATGTGTAAACTATAAAGGAATCATTATTATGTTAACATTAAGTTTGTATATGTTAAACTAATTTTGTATACTGAAAAATATAAGATATTGATGAAAATAATTCAAGACATAAATGGAAAGATACACCGCACTCATAGATGAAAAGACTATTGTTAAAAATACCTATACTGCCTAAGGCAATCTACAGATTGAATGCAATCCCTATTAGAATTCCAACAGCATTTTCCACAGAAATAAGACAATCTGAAAATTTGTATGGAACCACAAAAGACTCTGAATAGCCAAAGCAATCTCAAGAAAGAACAACAAAGCTGGAGGCATCATGCTTCCTGGTATCAAACTATATTACAAAGCTATAGTAATCAAAACAGTATGGTAATGGCATAAAAATAGACACATAGATCAATGGAACATAATAAAGTACCCTCAAATAAACCCACACATATATGGTCAATTAATTTAGGACAAATGGTATAGTCTCGTCAATAAATGGTGCTGGGAAAACTGGACAGCTACATGCAAAAGAGTGAAACTGGACCACTTTCTTATATCATACACAAAAGTCAACACAAAATGGATTAAATACTTGAATGTGAGACCTGAAACCATAAAACTTCTAGAATAAAAACATAGGTGGTAATCTCCCTGACTTCAATCTTGGCAATTTTTTGTACTAGACACCAAAGCAAAGGTAACAGAACAAAAATAAACCAGTAAAAATACAGCAAACTAAAGCTTCTGTATAGCAAAGGAAACCATCAACAAAATGAAAAGGTATCAACATCACTGTTCAACAAATGCAAATGAAAATCAAAACTACAATGAGATATCACCTCACACCTGTCAGAATGGCTAAAATCAACAATGCAGGAAACAACAATGTTGGAAAGGATGCAGAGAAAAATGAGCCCTCATGCAGTGCTGCTAGGAATGCATATCGGTACAGCTAACTCTAGAAAATATAGTAAAAAAATTAAAAATAGAACTACGCTGGGGCACCTTGGGTGGCTCAGTCGGTTAAGCATCTGACTTCTGCTCAGGTCATGATTCTGCAGTTTGCAAGTTCAAGCCCTGCATCGGGCTCTGTGCTGACAGCTCAGAGCCTGGAGTCTGTTTCAGATTCTGTGTCTCCCTCTCTCTGCTCCTTCCCCCTCAAAAATAAAATAAATCGGGGCGCCTGGGTGGCTTAGTCGGTTAAGTGTCCGACTTTCGCTTAGGTCATGATCTCACGGTCCGTGGGTTCGAGCCCCGCATCGGGCTCTGTGCTGACTGCCAGCTCAGAGCCTGGAGCCTGTTTCAGTCTGTGACTCCCTCTCTCTCTGACCCTCCCCTGCTCACGCTGTCTCTCTCTCTCCTAAAAATAAATTAAAAAAATAAAATAAAATAAATAAAATAAAGGAACAAGGGCTCCACTTGTTTTCTTTACAAAAAAAAAATAGAACTACCCTATAATCCAACCATCGCACTACTGGATATTTACCCAAAAATTATAAAAATATTAATTCAAAGGGATACATACACCTCTATGTTTATTGCAGCATTATTTACAATAGCCCAATTATGGAAGCAACCCAAGTGTCATCGATAGAGAAACAGATAAAGAATATGTAGTGTGTGGGTGGGTGTATCTATATCTAGATAGATTTTTTTTGAGTTTTTTAATGTTTACTTATTTTTGAGAAAGAGAGAAACAGAGTGCAAGCGGGAGAGGGTCAGAGAGAGAGGTGGGCAGAGAAAGGGAGACACAGAATCTGA